GACACACACTGCTTCTGTAGAAAAAAAGAAAATATGTTACGGTGCTTAACTTGTTCAACTTAAATCAACTTACTAGGCATCACATACTGTTCTCTTCTTATATCTCTTCTCTTTTCTCTGTATTCTGAACAAGTGGTTCCAGATCTTGGATGCTTAACGTTTAAAAAAAAATATTCACAGGAATATTGCCAATATTTTTTTGTCAAATGAAGACAACTTAAAAAAACTACCTGATACAATTTTATAAAAGGAAGCACATTTTCATATAATATAAAGGCATCATTTCTCAACAATTATTTGCATTAAATGTAGTTAGCTTTATGGACAAACTCATTACAGTGATCCTTGAGGAAAGCATAGAACTAAAATAGGTGGAAAGAAGTGGAAAGGTGAAACAAGGCAGGAAGAGAAAGAAGGTAGGAGAAGGGATTATCACACAAACAAACCCCACTTAGCCATAAACACTGTGCCTTGCCTTTCCAATGCAACTTGGAGTAAAAACAGCGTTTCAATTACACCTTTAAAATTTATGTATTGTCTTGCTTCAGGTACTTGGTTACTTGACTGTTGAGCATGCCTGTTTTCTTTCACTGATATTGCAAGAAGGTACGTGGCATTGTGTATGTGACTTTAAAAATCAATAATTTAACCGGGCTCAGTGGCTCAGCCTGTAATCCCGCACTTTGGGAGGCTGAGGTGAGTGGATTGCCTGAGCCCGCGGGTTCGAGTCCCGCCTAGGCAACTTGGCGAGGCCTCATCTCTACAATAAATCAAAAATTAGCCAGGCACGGTAGCGCGCGCCTGTAGTTCCAGCTACTTGGAAGGCTGAGGCGGAAGGATTGCCGGAGCCCAGCAGGTCGAGGCTGCGGTGGCCGGGAGCGGCCACTTCACTCCAGTCTGGGCGACAGAGTGAGACTCCAACTCAAAACAACAACAACAACAAAAAACAAAACAACAAAAAAATCGATAATTTATTAACATCTAATGGGACTGAACAATTTAAAAATTGTAGAAGTGAGGGTGATGATGCTTTGTCCTATGGTCCCCAATACATCAATCCCCAGATGTCTGAGGCTAGTGAGGCTGAATGGGCCATGGCTTAGTCCCCACAAACAAAAGACTTAATTGCCCAAATGAAACAAGAGCTAAGTGCTGCATGATAATGCTGGTACTCAGGTAATAGCACCAGGAACTGTTCATAAGAAGCTAACAAAACAGTATAATTTAAATATACTTTTTACACATGCCATAAGAGGTGAGTGATTTTCAAACTGACGTTTGTAAGTTTTCTACACGTTATGTTTTACTTTTACATTTAGTTTTAAGCATATGCTGGAATATCTGGATCATGACATGATACTAACTGCTGACACATAGTTACAAGTGGGATTTGTTTGTGTGATAGCCCCTTCTCCTACCTTCTTTCTCTTCCTGCCTTGTTTGTCCTTTCCACTTCTTTCCACCTATTTTAGTTCTATGCTTTCCTCAAGGATCAATGTAATGAGTATGTTCATAAAGCTAAATATATTTAATGCAAATAATTGTTGAGAAATGATGCCTTTATATTATATAGTACACACATATGAGTCTGTTTTCACAATCATGTTGACAGAAAGTAATACTATTTTAACTGTAATGAGCTAATGAGAAAATAAATGAGGCAAACTTCATTTGGCTTGCTATACAGGTGAAGATTTGCAGTAGTCTGAAAAGAAAAAAGTGATGGGAAAGTAGAGTCCTCATAAGACACACTTACAAGCATGCTTAAGTCCAAGAGCATGTGCTGGCCAGTCAGTATGTTTACATTTCTAGGAGCAGTTTGTTTCAGCAAATATCATGTACCACAGTAATTTGACTTCGAAAAAAATGTGTGCACAATTTTTAAATTTACCTTGGTGTTAAATTTGCACAAGAGCTTTATGAACATGCAGAGTTTACTTTAGCTTTGTTGACATTTAAGAAATATAAAAAATTATTTACACAAATGCCTGGGTGTGTAAGAATGTTTTTTTCTTTAAAAGAGAAACCTCTATATATTTCTCAATCAAAAACCGCTAAGATAAATACTGACAGCAGTACACACAACATGTGCACTGAATATATGTTTGTTAAATAAATGGTAATAATGCATTAATACATCTTTACTAAGTTCTTAATCATTAGGAGTTAATGACTGATGTGCATCCTGCCTTCAATTTCAATTTGCTTGGTTTGTTTCTTGGGTGGTGCCTCATCTGAATGCATTTCCCCAGTTCATCTCTCCCTTCTATTCTCCACCAAGATCTTTCCTAATTTCTATTTACCTATGGATATGTTTCCCATCTTCTCTGAAGATCTGGGCCCAGGAAGAAACCCTGGGGTAATCTGCTTTGAAGTCTTCAGATAAAATAATGTACTTTTCAGAGAGCTGATGGGTTGCAGGAAGGCTATGAAGAGAATGAGTGGTACTGAGAGAATTGTCAACCAAACTATCATTTGGTTTACAATCAGATAGAAATATACTGGATTCCCACGGACCTGCTGCAGTCAGGAGGGATGCGGCCAGCGTCCTGCAGCGTGGCCGCGGCAACGATGAGTTTACCCCTCAACCCCGAACCTTTCCTCAACGGCCTCACCAGGAAGCCAGTGATAGTGAAGCTCAAGTGGGGGATGGAGTATAAGAGCTACCCGGTGTCCAGTGTCCGTGGACGGCTACATGAACACGCAGCTTGCAAATACAAAAGAATACATAGATGGGGTGCTGTCTGGACACCTGGGTGAAGTTTTAATAAGGTGTAACAACGTCCTTTATATCAGAGGTGTGGAAGAAGAGGAAGAAGATGGGGAAATGAGGGAATAGCAGCTTTTGTGTGGTTTTTATATATATATTTCTAGACAATAAAGCTCTGTTTGTTTTTCAAAAACAAAAATATTGGACTTGGCCCAATGATAAGTGATCTAACCCTTGTGATTTTTTCATATGATTGATGGGTTCAGAGTGTGTCTGTGTGTTGAGCTTCTCAAATATTACCAATACAGCTTGCTGATAAAATAAAGCTGGTGGATGAACATGGTGGCTCATGTGTATAATCCCAGCACTTTGGGAGACTAAGCCCAGAAGTTCGAGATTAGCCTAGGCATACATAGTAAGACCTTGTCTCTACAAAAAATTTTAAAATTACCCAGGCGTGGTATAGTCCCAACTACTCAGGAGGGTTAGGTGGAAAGATCACCTAAAACCAGAAGGTTGAGGCTGTGGTGAGTCGTGATCATTCCACAACACTTCAGCCTGGGCGAAAGGGACTCATGACTTAAAGAGTAAATACAGTAAGTCCCCTACATACGGACGAGTTCCATTCCAAGAGCACTTTGTAAGTCCAACAAAATTAGCCTAGCTCCCAACTAATGCAATCATTTACATATATAGTACTGTACTGTAATAGGTTTATAATACTTTTCACACAAATTATAAAAAACAAACACAAAAAATAAAAAAAAATTAATCTTACATTACAGCATTTTGCATACAATGACAATGTATGCCAAGTGAGCTAGTTTACGTGACTGGACATGCAAATACACATTCATATCTTTGAAAGTGTGCAACTTAAAGATTCGTATGTAGGGAACTTATTGTAATAAAAAAAAAAAAGCTTGAGTTTATTTCTTATCCTGGCAAGGAAGAACACCACTTCCACAGAGCTTTGGCAGTATTTCAGAGGGGAAAGGTTAGGACAGAATGTATTAAGAATTGGAAGTTTTTGAGGTTAAGCATAATAATATGACCTCTGTGGAAAACTGTGGCAATTTCTAAAAGATCTAGAAATGGGCCTTCCATACGACCCAGCAATCCCCCTTCTGGGAATATACTCAGAGGAACTCAAATAATTCCACAAAAAAGATACCCGTGCACACATATTTATTGCAGTACTATTCACAATAGTAAAAAAAAAATGGAACCGTGCTGCCCATTGAAAGTGGACTGGGTTAAAAAAATGTGGTACATATACATATACATACACAGCCATAAAGAAGGCCATAATTATGGACTTCACAGCAAGTTGAATGGATTTAGAGTCTACATACTCAGTGATCTATCACAGAATCAAAGAACTGAATACCACATATTCTCACTGACAAATGGATCCTGAATATTTATCATACTACAAGAAAGGGATTGGCAGTAGTAGGACACTGCCAGAAGAGGGAGGGAGGGGGTCCACATAACATCACTAAGGGTACTTGATCCTAAACCAGGTGAAGTTAGGACCAGTGGGAGGCCCAAATTTCACCTGTAC